CAGGAAAACAGCTTTATAATAATTTTAACATTTATAGCAATGTTCCCTCCCAGGTTTATGCATTTTGCCAAACTCTTTGCAGTGTTAACTTATAGAAGATATAATTAGCACCTGAACATTAATGAAGTGGTAGATAGATGACTGTATGAACATACAAAGAATAACTATCAGGGGATAAAGTATACTAAAGGAAAATGAATGACATAATAACTTTACTCAAAAAACATTCTGGATTTTCCACTGGAGGGAGTTCTCATTTAAATAGGCTGCTCTCTTTCAGCTGTCCAGGGGGGCTTTAAATAATGTTTCCATGTTAAAAGGGAAAGAAAAGAGGTAAACGTTTAAACTGATAACAATAGTGAGTTCATATGATGTTTATTGATTACAGAAGCTAAAAGTGGAGTTCTGGTACAAAGAGTATTTGCTCTTTGAGGAAGGAAAAAAAATGAAACAAGGGAAAGGAAGTAGGAAGGGGGACAGTCATTCAAACTTCATGCAAGTATGTAATCATGAAATGTTCAGTTCTTGCCAGTTTCTTCTGGATTACCTTTTTGCAGTGAATGAATATAAGATTGGCTCTCCTCACTAGTCCAAATCTACCCAGCTTGTCTGGGCTTTATCAAAATATTATGCATCTGATGAGACAACATAGGCTTCACTATTTGGCTAGATGAACAAGGCATTTGGGGCATTTTAAAGACCTACACATTTATGGTGGCACAAGCTTTTGTAACTTGTCATCTCTCTCTCTCTCTCACACACACATGGCTACAGCGAGCTTGCTCCTCCTCCCAGTTTTACAAAACTGGGCCAAAATGTTGGATGCTTTGTACAACTTTTTTCTCTCACTTTGTAATACAGACAGTGAGTTGTTATAAGGTACATAGTGCACATTTATCTGAACCATAACAATAATATTTTAAACATTTAAATACATTAGCATGTGTACATTATTTGTGCTTTGCATTAGGAAATAAATGCCCTTTGAAAAATTTAAAATCCATTCTTAACCCCCCTAGCTATCTGTGCTTGACAAAAATCATTTCAAGACACTTTTGATTATGTAGTTTAAAAGACAACAAGCATGCAGATAACACTTCTCTTAATGACAAACAACCTATTTTACAGGGGGGAACATTGAGTGATGGCAAAACTATGAGATTTCAGTCAGAAGGTTAAGAGTAGTTTGGGGAGATTGTTCAAGGATAAAACCCAAATATATTTTGTATTGTACATTTAAAAGCTTCTGCTTGTCTAAATTATAGCTGAGTGAAAATATTGTAACTTAATTTTTTTCTGAATGAGTGGCTAGTTTTAAATTTTTCTGAAAACAGTATTTGCATATTTCATTATGTTTCTGAAGTGAAAAACAGGTTGTTTTTAAGGGATGTGGCAGTTGCTATATGCTAGAATATTGATACTTACTCAAAATAGATATTCCACTTGAGGAAGAAAAAGTGAATGTATTAATAGAACAATAACTCTCCAAAAAGAATAGTCTCAAGTTGTTGCTTTTAATATCAAAACATCTGAACGAATTTTGGTTTAGTTTGTTTTAATTTATCAAGCTGAGTTTTCAATTTTGGCTTTCCTATTTGGGCTACAATCGAAACGTGATCTGGTAGGTCACTCCAACTTTCTAAAAGCTTCAAAACAAATTAATGGCCATAGTAGATCTCAATGCAAAGAAAAACACGTGACATTTAAAAATTACCTAGTCTTTATGTGCATCTACCATGAAATCTTATTCATAACTTCTGTCCTGAAAAATGTTTTAAAAGATCAAAGGAAGCCCCTGGAAGTCACCATTTCAAGAATAGTATTTTTTTCTTCCACGCAGAACGGAATTTCAGCATTGCTGTGCTGTGTCTTTCCAATTTCCAGGAGAATCGATCCTTCCCCACCTACAGCACACACTCCGTATTTGTGATTGGATCTTATTTTTTAGGAAAGGGGGGAAAGTCCAGCAGCCTGAGAAGAATAAGAACTCGATGTCTTCCATTCATAAAGCTGTGCCAGCCAACTCTAGCCGGGGATGTGTGCGGGTGTGCGGGGGGGGGGGGTCTTGCACGAGGAGCTCCCTTCGTACAACAGCCATTTAAAGGGCCAGCACATTCCAGCGACGCAACCTTCCTTACCCCACCCCATCCCCCACGTTGCCATTTCCCTTCCACCTCCCGCCCCAGCTTTCTGGATTGGTGGGTTGTGACTGGCATGCTTTAAAAATTTCCATCTCTTCTTGATAATAATGGCAGGAGCATCGGTGCCGAGAAGGACAATTGGCGCCTCTTCAGAGGCAACTTAGCTATTGCACGGGCTCACCCTTCTATCTCACCCCCCTCCTTCTTGGGAAGCTGGAAGGACACTAAAAAGTGAGGCTGGGGAGGCGGGGGCGAAGCGTTGCATCCATCCACCATCTTCCTCTTTGTCCCCCACTCTTTCTATTCAAGAAAGATCCGTTTGCCAGAATCCGGTGATGCTGCTGATGCAGTGCGAGGGGTCCTTCTGAGTTGCCAAGGCGGCTTTTCGATTACATTAAAAGTCTTAATGCAATCCCCATACACGTTTACTCAGAAGTAACCCCACCGCCTGCAATGGGACTCCCAGGTAAGTATGTTCAGCATTGCGCTCTGAGGTTGAGACCTTAAGAGGCACTTGCTGGGAAAGAAGGTCACTTGAACAGGGGCTTACTTCTGAGTAAACACGACAGGAGGATTAGGGTCGAGCTGTTAAAAGGAGTCCCAGAGCCCTGTTTTAAGCTAAAAAGCATCGTGTCTTTTCTTCTTGTCATTCCTGCGGCGCAGTAAAACCAAACCCGCCCACCTCCTTTTCACGAGGCGTTTATTTCAGTCTCTTGACCCATTTCCTCCCGGGAAGAAGGTGCATGGATGGCGGATTAAAAAAAGAAAAGAGGAAAGAAAAGGACAGCTCGCACATGTTACCTCGTGAGAGACAAGGGTTAAGCGGAAGCAGCTTCCAATCGCCGCCCTTTTGGTTGGTGGAGAAATATATATTTAATTTTGATGGTTTCCCACCAATGCCCATTCATGGAACCCAATGCCTGTTCGCATGCATCGCAGGCACCGGGGCCCCCCTTTTCTCGTTCTCTGCCTCCCCCCGCTCCTTTCTGTTGTCATTTATGGTGGAGGAGAGTTGATGACGCTTCTTAACGAAGCCAAAAGAACCTAAAAATTTAAGCGGAAGAAAAACTCGATCAAAGTCCCGAGTCTTGAGGCGGGGTGGGGAGGGGGCGCCTGCATTTCGCATCCATTGCTAGGGTGTTGAGGAGCGGGAGCCCAAGAACATCCTCCCCTCCCCGACTCCCCCCTCCCCGCACTCTTCACCTTGGGCATTGCGGCGGGGGTGTTCCTTCGTCAAGGCACTCTTTATTTTGGGGCGATTTATCAAGGGATGGAGAAGGATTTCCCCCTTTTCCTAATAGCCTTTATCCCTGTGAAGAAGCGCCGCCGCGCGCAGAGAAGCCCTGAACTCGCAATTAGTGCCTTCACCCTCTTCGCTTTGCTTGCGCGCACAGAGGAGAACCGCGAACAGGACAAAAAAGAAAGAAAGAAGGAAACCCGCGGTCAACGTGTGAAGGTTCGTCCGCTTCTCTTGGGTGGCGGCAGCCACCAATGAGGGTCCTGCTGGGAGATGCACGTTTGCAGTTGTGCTTTCGTCAGGTGCAGTGTGATATATCCAGACACACACAGAGACACACACTCGGTCCCTTTGCAGGTCATTGTATGCCTTGGTGGCGGCGATTCCAGAACAGCGTTACGGGAACGTCTTCGCAACTCTTGACACAGCCCCAAGAAGATCCAATATGGCTCTCGTCCACCCTCCCACGCCCCTCAGCCACCCGCTCCCCTATTGCATTTCGCTAGTCATCCTTGCCTTGTAAATAAGGGTAAAACTAAGAATCCCTTACGGTCCCCCAATTCGCGTGGAAGGAATAGGAAACTTTGGGTCTTAACACGCGTACACGGAGCGTCCCCTCTCCCTGCTCTCCCCACCCCCTGCTAGGCAAGCAGAGGCTCCTTTGATTGAGTTTACACCCAGAAAATTTCATTCAAACTCTCAAGAAGCTCGTGGGTCGGGGCTTGTGGGGGGAGGGGGAGAACAGGCTGAGCAGGAGGAGGAGGAGGAGGAGGAGGAGGAGGAAGGGGGATCGTGATGGGGGTTGGGTTGCAGCCCGCTAGTTCCAGAATAAGAGCTGCGTTGGGAAAGTCGGGAGTTGCTGTCTTACACGGGGGTGCTTCTGATAGGAGATGCGGCACATTAGAAAGGTTTCTTTTAAGGCGTGAGGGGAGGAGGAAAAAAGTAAATAATATAGTATTTGCATTTAAAAAAGAAGAAAAGGCTGCCCTGTCTCTGAACGTGAGTGTTGCGTGTGTGTCTGCCCCTCCCCTTGTAGGGGTGGTCCTTTTTTCTTTCCTTTTTTTTTTGCTCCACCACGTGGCTTCCTCTTGCAAACATTTTCACTCATTTTTCCAGGTCGATTTTATTTAGGGGCGGCGCCAAAGCCTGCCTCGGCCTCGGAGACGTCCTGTGTATGTGTGTGTATGTGTGGGTGAGTGAGTGAGTGTGTGTGAGTGTGACACATGAGTTGCGACTCAAAAGGAGTTGGGGGGCCGCTGGAAAAAACGCACACACACGCACGAGCCATTTTCTCAAGCCCGCCACACGAAGTTGCCTCTAAACCCATCAGCCCATTGATTCTGCAAAACAGGGAACATTTCCCCCCCTCTTTCCTCTTAGATTATTCCCCCCCCCTTTCCTCCCCACACCCCAATAACTGGCGTGTCCGACTTGCTGGGCCACCAAGATTAAATAAGAAACTTTTTAAAATTCGTTAAAAGTTTCAGCAGCAGCAGCGACCTCGCTCGCCCGCCTTCCCCACCCGGTGCGCGAGATTTTTTTCTTTTCTTCTTTCCCTCCCACCTCCCGTGACTCCCTCCCTTTTTGGACCTACCCAACATTTTGTGCAAAACGCACCAGCCATGAACAAGCTGTACATTGGGAACCTCAACGAGAACGTTACTCCGGCGGATCTGGAGAAAGTCTTCAACGACCACAAAATCTCCTTCTCTGGCCAGTTCTTGGTGAAATCTGGTTACGCCTTTGTGGATTGCCCAGATGAGCAATGGGCCATGAAAGCCATCGAAACTTTTTCTGGTAAGCCAAATGGATCTCCCTCTCTTTCTCTTTCCGACTTCTTTTCGTCTTCCTTTCCTTCTGCAGCTTTTTTTTTTTTTTTCAGAAACACGGAATTAAAAAAGCAGCACACACTGACATCTCTTTCCCAGTACCCCAAATACTAGTGATTCTTCTGATTGTGCGTGCGTGCGTCGGTGTGTGTGTGTGCAAGGAATCATAAACGTGGTTTGTAAAGATGCGTTCAGCCACATTTTTGCCGTTCTTGTGCAGCTTCCGCCCTGATTCTTTTTCCACCTCTCTATGTCATCAATGAAAGTTCACTTTCGTTTCCTACTCCCCCCCCACCCCATAACTATAGTGGGGCCGCTTTGCTGATTCCCCCTCTTCTCCGATGTTGGAGTTCTGAACCAAGGCGTTTGTGTATGTGTGTGTGCCTGTATTCTCATTAAGCATAGCAAATAACTTGCTGGGCCTAGGCTGTTCCATCAACTTCTCTTGGCTTTCTAGAGGGTTCTTCTTTCTTATTTTTTAATGTGCCCAATCTGTCCCACCCAAAAAGACCATTACTGCTGCTGCTGCTGCTGCTGCTGCTGCTGCTCTCACGGTTTGAATAGGCCTCTCTTTTAAATAAAATAAAATGGGCACATCTTTTCGAATTGTGAACATAAATTGGCGAAACTCTTCCTCTTTGCTCCCAGGAAGTCACCCCTTTTGGATAGCCCTTCCACCCCCAAAACTGAGCCCTACTCTAATGGGAGAGGAAGTGGAAGGAACCCCCAAATCAACCTTCAGTCCCTTACAACCCCGGTTCTATGATCAACCCTCCCCCACTCTTGCTCGTTCAGCTTTCAAGGCCATTTGGGATTTACCATGCGATCAAATGCTCTATTTTTGTACTTTGAAAGTGTGTGGCACTTTGGGGGATGGGAGGGGGAGCTCCTCTAAAAGAGGGAGGTGGGAAGGAATGAGGGGAGGTGTTGGACTTTGGCCATTTTGATTTTAAACTGGGTTTTCCTGGGGCATGTGGTGTGTGTATTAGCGCGAAGGTCGCCATGCTGCTAAGAGATTGAGAAGAGAGAGAGGCAGACTAGCAAGCAAACCTGATGTTGACTTTTGCTGAGAACAAACCTCTTTTGCCCCCTGCTCAAAATAAACAGATCAGATTTTAGATCCTGCTTCATACTCTTTCTTCCCAACTGAATACAGGTTTCATTGATTCCGCCCCCCTCCCCCCGCTTTTTTGCATGAATATTTCTGAAAGCCAAGCAAGTTGGGTTGGAATAAGCCAACAGAAGAGCCTTAACATTCTTCGCCTTTCCTCTGACGAGACTGATCTTCCAGCATATAAATATGAAATGAGGCAAAACTGCCAAATGTATAGCCTTGGGGAAATTTCTTTCCTTGGTTTCTTCCATTGTTTAGTCTCTTCCATTTGAATTCCAGTTTTATTTTTAATAAAGATAAAAAAATAAATCTGGCCTTGTGGTTACAGGTGAAGTCCCCATGAAGTCCCCAGTAAGATGGAGCTAAGATAATGGGGAGTGGGTTTAGAAGTTGAATTGTTCATGGGAATTGGGTCCACTTCTACATTTTTTTTTAAAAAAAGACACTTGTGTTTTTAGGCAAAGTGGAGCTGCATGGAAAACAGCTCGAGATTGAACACTCAGTACCTAAAAAGCAAAGGTAATCCATCTGTTTAATTTCTTTTAATTTTGTCAATGTTGAAAGGCAATGACTAAAATAATTTTTAAAAAATTAAATGCCAAACTTGTGCAGGCAAATCAAGTTTCAAAAAGGGTGTATTTACATTTTCCTCCTCCACTCCATAAGGAAACTATTTGGTGGGGGGAACTCCTCTAGTAGTCAACTTGTACGTTTTTGTTCAATCCAAATTCTTCTTAAAGTTACTTTTAAAGTACTAAGAAGAAAAAAAAATATTACTAGCCTTTAGTGGGGTATTCAGTGAAAATTTGAAAACAAAGTCGAGGCTCTATCATTTAGATTCAATGTCATTTACTGTAGAAATAAATGTCTACTTGACAAGACTTTCCTGTGTGATTTTTAAAAATCCAATCTTTCTGTATTTTCTTTTATTATCTGTTTCCTAAATGAAGCAAGCAGGGAACTTGCTGGCCCAGATTCCTAAAATGAAAAGAATGCATGGGTTTTCCATTTCTTGTTCCTCTGACTATTCTAAAACTTTGCACTTCTGTGTAGATGTATTTCTTTAACTGTGTTTTTGTAAAAGTAATTTTACTGTGTTTAATATTTTTGGTCTATTCAGTATTTGGGTTGCCTCGATTAATTTTGGTGGTTTGGATAGTTATGTAGAAAAGAATCTCATCTTTTAGAAAGAAGTTATAATTACTCCTTGTTGATATGAAATTTAGTAAGTAGGTACAAAATGCATAACACACTTTTCCCACAGAATGCAGTGTGAACACATTTTTCCAGGTAGGAGTTTCAGAGATAGATGTAAAGGAGCTGGGGTGAACTGGGTGTCTCTTTCTGTCGTTCAATATCTTATTTTTGGTGATAACATCACAACTTCCTTTTCCATCTCTTTTTAATTTCTTGGGTTTTTAAACTTTGTAGGAGAATGTGCTGATGGAGAATAAAACATTCTTATGAATGGCTTCCTGCAGCTCCCTCTATGGATTGGAAGGGTCCCAAAATCTATCTGATTAATTTATTTTACTGTAGCAACAAGCATGGGCTTTGTGTAATGGGTGATCAATAGTGCTACTAACAATCTTTTTAGCATGGTACATAGGATAGCTGTGGTTTTAAATAACAACGTAGAGAAAGTTTATTGGGAAGGCAATTCCAGAATGAAACAATGCATAATAAATATGGGGGGGGGGGGTGAAATTGGTGGCTGCAAGGGAGTGGGGGAAGAAATGGAACCTGAATATTTTTGTTTCCTTTTGAATGCAGTCTTTAAAAAACCAATGAATTGTGTTGTATATGGAAGATTTTGAGAAATTGCGAAGTTCTTATCCTCCTATGACTTTAAAGGAAAATATCAACCATGTATAGATTAATCACTTGAGGAATTTTATAATTCAACTACATTTTGGTTAAATAGGTGTAAGTAAAAGGATCTGACTGGCTACTAAGTATCTGACTGGCTACTAAAGTATTACAAGGAGATACTTTTCTGTAGAAATCAAACAGGTTTCCGGACTTGTTCTCATTTGGTGTGCTTTCTCCTCCATATATCTGAAAACATCTGCCTTCTTAAGAGTCACAGTGGCCATGTTTGAGTTTTCAAAGACTCCCTTAAAGGAGTTAAGCTGACGTCATTTGATGCATACCAAGATTTTATTTGCAGATTCACTTAAGATACATTTTTAACCTTGTGCTTAGGATGTGAGAATTACTTAAATTGTTTCCTAAAACAGATTTTTCATTGCTTGTAGAAGTGGAGAAATAAAATGTTGAATCTTTAAGGGAAGTTGTTAGAACAAGAAAGGGTGGCTTTTTTCACAATAAGTCACTTTCTCATTGATAAAAAGTGTAAGATTGTGTTGGATTGAGTTTTCACAGGGTGTGTGTTGTATATCTCTGTTCTTCTACTTGTCCTGGGACTTGATTTTCCTGTTTGGAGCGATACCAAAAATAGGAACTAGCTAATTAAATTTGATAAGCATAGGCTCAATAATATGTGGCTAGTAAGAGTTGTCCCCCCACACAAATCTGTAAAGATGGTTACCTTTTAAGTAAAAAAACCTTGAGAAACATGAAGACATGTTGATCTGTGTCCTTTCAGTAATTTAAATAAAATCACACTTAACTTACCTCATTTAAAAAAAAATCAAACCTGGCCTATTTTTATTGAGTCCCAATAGCTGGAAAATGCCAAGAATGCCCAGACTGAATGATGGGCATGATTTTCTTGTGATGAACATTAATTCTGGTGGCACTGACTTTGCATTTATAAACTATGCCACCTGGCTAGTTTAAATAGCAATTAAAACAAATGCAGAATGTGGTATTGACTGGTAGTAGAAATGGTGCAATTCTTTAAAGGGCGTATTTCCACCTACATGAATTATTTCAAATTTAATTTTGTGTTAATTGAATTGCCAGTTGCAGAATCTTACATTAACAAACATTTGAAACCCAACAAGTAAAGGTTGAGAACTAAGACACAGAGTTAGTCTTTTCTAAATATGGAAGATGTACATATGGATGAGGGAATTGAGACTTCCAACTTAGATAACTTGATCTGCAAAGCAATAAGTGCCTTCAAGATAAGCATTATGTCTATAAACTTTTGAGGGCTGTAATATTCCCATTTTAATTTTCTAAAAGTTCCATGGATCGGAAGCAATCTTAGTTACAAGCAAGCATTCTGACTTCAAAAATAATGTTATGCCTTTGGTATGTGTGTTTTCAGTTATACATTTATTGAAAAAAGGTCTTGGGAGGAAAATTTGCAATTTTATTCCTTAAAATGTCAGCAAATTCCATTTGGTGATAGAAAGGGTTAATTAACACAACCTAGAAGAAGTTTTAAGAACTGAAGAATGTTAAGAAATGTTTGGAGGTTAGGGGTGGAGTTGTCTGAGACTGAAAAGACTGAAGTGGATAGAATTGTGGGGTGGGGGAGAGAAGGACAAACATGAATGGATTAAAAAAAAGGAGAGGAGGGGAAATTCAATGAATCCATCTAGCAAACATTCCAAATATGAGGACTGGAAGTGACTAGCCTGGAGAGAATGAAACTTCAGTAACTAGGGAAAAAGTGATTATGCCTCAGTAGTCCAGAAAGATCCCTCAGTAGCCCCATAATGATAGTTTTGTTATCTACAAGAATAACTTGAATTATTTGAGTTCATTATTATTTTTATTTGATGATAATTACTGTAGAATTATGATCAAATTTGGTCAGGGTATTGTATCTCAGTAGTCTAGTAGTCAATATACACACAGTATGCTAAGCACTATTATAGTATAATTGTAAAATCAGGTGTGACATCTTATAAGAGATGTGTGTATTGTCTGCAAATGTCTTTGCAACAAACAAATGTGAAAACTGGGAGCGCAATCTCACACCTGCCTGTGCAGAAGCAAGTCCTCCTGAATTCACTGAGATTTGTTTCCTGGTATGTGTGTATAGGATTGCAGCCCTAAGCTTATAGGAAGAAACTACAGAATTTTTCACTTGGGTTTATGTCATTGTTCATTTCCCAGCAAGTGAGTTAGAGCTAGATTTGTTTGCAACAACTACAGTCATAACAACAGCAAAATTGGAATATTTGAATCATGTCCAAAGCTTTAACTTAAAAGCTCTAAATATATAATTTTGTAATGATTGTTTTGCTTTCTACATAGGTCTTTGATGGATTTACATGTTTGGTATTTCTTCAGTTTTTGTACAGGCAACAAATGTTTCATATTCGTAACTATGTTAGCATGTAAAAGTAAATTCCTAAGCAGAAGCTAGTATTAGTGACAGTCAAGGCAGAAATTATGCATAGGTTTACAGCACAACTCTGTATATACTTAGACAAAGTCCTACAGTTCCCAGGATTCCCCCCTCCAGGATGCCTGGGTGCAGAATATGAGACATGTTTTTCTGATTAAACATGCATAAGATTGTACCTTTAAATATTTCCTGCAGTATTTATTGGTTCCCAATCCAGGAACTTAGGGGCAGCTGCAGGCTGTTTACACCACTGCTGTTTATTAAATGTAAATATTTGCATTAAAGAAAAAAGATAAATTAAAAAAGTAATCCCAGTATATCATTAGCAACAAAAAATTGGAAAGTTTGCTTATTAAAAGTCCAATCAATGAAGCCCCAGAAATTGAGTAGCTAGCATGCAATCTTCAACACACACTTTGACAAGGAGGGGTGTCATTGGAGGGTTGCATGTTTCACATGAGTTTCTTTATTGTTGGATAAAGCTGTTCTGGCTCACATATGCAGGATTGGGAAAGCATGTCTCTTGTAATGTGAAAACAGGCCTTTTGGGGACTGTTTTTATCTTACTCTAACTCATAATATTAGAGTTAGATTTAAAAACTACTGTGCAATTGCAGGAGTATTTACTCAGAAGTAAGCCCCACTAAGTTACATAAAGTTTACCTGCATGGAAGTGCACATGGGATTAGATGGAATTCCAAGCACCTGTTTTGTTCTTATCAGCATAGTCTGATGGGGGCGGGGAGGACAAAAAAAAAAAAAAACACACACACACACACAGGGATCTTACAATATTTCCTTTGATTTTAATAAGGGGGGAGATGGTTAACTAGTACTCTCCTTACAAAAAAGTTGTAGGAAAGTGAATTGTCCCACGAGTGATTGTTTAGGCTACGTTGGGAAACAGATTTAAAAGGACAGGTGACTTTAGCTCTGTAAAAACAGCAATGGGGAAAGACTGAGAAAGTCAGGTAAATTTTCCAAACTTATGCAGAAATGTGGATGTTTGTAGAATTTTACCAAAATTTGGTGAAGTATGCAGAACAGGAGATACTCTTGCAAAATAGCATGAATTCCAAGCACTTAAGAGAAAGACTACACCTGAAAGTCTTCTTTTGGGAGGTGCTTTTAGGCTGTAGTCTTATACACATTTACCTTAGAATAAGTCCTATTGCTGGGGGTGGGGTAGCTTCTGAGTAGACCACATATTGAAGAATTGGGCTGCTAGCAGCTAGGAACTAGGCTTATC